TGACCCCCCCCCCCCCTACTATGTAACAGTTTTCCAAGTTGGCAGGAAACTAAAAAAGTTCAACCTGGTTCAGACATAATTGTAAATCTAAATGTTTCTGACGTCAACCGAAGAAACCGGAAAGATTTGGATAATTGATAGATTAGGAGAATAAAGTTTTAATATTAATACAATCTTAGCACGATATTCAACATTTGGTTATTTTTCCTTTTTTGTGCTACTTCTCGACCCCATGTACTCCTTCTCCGTTCCCTGTACTCCTTCTACGTTCCCTGTACTCCTTCTTAACCCTCTGCACTCCTTTTCTACCTTTCACTCCTTATTATCTCCACCCATCCCCCCCCCAACGCCCCAGTCACTCTGCTTGTAGAAATTATATATATACCTTGAAGAAAGAGTAATGGTAAGGCCTGTAGCATGGTTTGTATAAACTGCTTGAATATTGAAGGACCAGGTTAGAATCCTGGCATTTTTTCTTCTCTTCTACTCCTGCCCATATCTCACCTAACATCTTTATATACTTTCAGGGCTGTAGGCAATCCTCATTCTAGAAGAGCAAGGAGAGGGGATGATGCAGTTTCTTTTAGGATATATTTTGCTAATCAATTCATCATGAATGATGGGTTATAAAATAATCGTTCTGTTATTTTTGCAAGGTCATTTGAGGGTAAGTGAGGTCAAAAAGGTCATTTTTAGGTAAAATCCAGGTTGTTCAGGTTACTGTTATGGTCACTTTCGAGAAAGTTTCTCAAAATTATTCTCAAGGTCATTTTCAAGGCTGTTTTCAAAGTCATTTGAACATTTTCTGATTTGATTTTTTTGCAAATGATTAGGCTCTTTACTTTACTTTAAGCTTTTTCAGCAATTAACTCATCATATAACATTTTGATGGTTTATTCGCATTAAAAAAAATTTGAATTTGAAAAATATTTTCTTTTATATCCCCGGTAATTTAGTCACCACTTACAAGCAAGTCAAAAATTGAAAATGCTACAGGGTTGGGACACCCTGTAGGATGTTTTAAATTCAACACGACATTTTACTTTCAACCAATACAGAAGGACAGACCCCTTCCTGACTATTGTTTCGCCCCTGAGAACAGGTCTTTTATACTCACTTTTTCAAATATCCGTGCTTTCTTTGTTTAGAAGAATAAATCACGAAATTTCTTTAAAGCTGTTCAAAAAAAACCTTTAACTTTATCCATTGATTACCTGAGAACAGGAGTTGGAACCGCAAATTATAAGTTCTGTTAATTCTGGACAACGATCTCTGTTAAGTGCAGTTTATTTTAATTTAAACAAAATAGTTTTTAAATTATTTCAGATGCTTCACTGAAATTGAAAGGGGGGAAAATAGTTATATTCCCAAAAAGGAAACAGCAAAATCAATCAATAGTCAAGCGAAATTTATAAAATTTGAGGAATTCAGAAAAATTAAAATACATAGCACTTTCCTAAATACAGTTCCACATATTTTATCATTAAATAAACGGTCAGCGCACAGAACAACTAGAATACAATCATATTACAGGTAATCAGGGCCAAATTTTATAAATTGCAAAGGTTGGTGAGCTACTTGCTTCTGCGGCCGATTCAAATGCTGAGTCATCGATTCAAATTCTCATGAATCTTTAACTTTGAGTCAGAAGTCATTATTTGAACCGGCGAAAGGTAGTTCTAGTTTATTTACTTATGTACAATTCATCCAATTACATCCCAGGACAACTACAATACAAATAGATTAAAGGTGACAAGGACATCTAGAATTCATATTTAAGGTCAACGGGACAAGAATAACTGTTGGTGAATAGTTTAAAATGACCGTAGCAAATATTGTACCCTATATACTTGTAAACCTTAAAATAGCTAGATATATTAAGTTGTACATTGTTTGTAAATCTTAATGCACTTGTAAATAGCTAGGCAAAGCTTGTATTGTGATTAACCTAACCTTGCCACGTCTCTAAACAACAACGTCCAACCTGTATTATGATGAGCTTAACTATGCTTGCATATAACATCGTAAAACTTGTAATTTTGTTTATTAACTTAAATTGTAAGATAGAACCCAAAATACAATCAGTTGGAATTATACTCCACTTGATTACAGTGTGAGAGTAATTACTTCTTGGTTTGCGAATAAGAAACGTCCTGAATCACTCTCTTGAAAGATAGAACTAGATTGGGAATTGATACAGATAACTTTGTGTTCAGGTTGACATTGATAGTAAAGAATCATTGAGCTCACTAGTTTATATACCTCGATGATCATAGCGAAATGAACCTGAGTTGTATCGGTATTAATAGATATAAACCAGGGAGATACTTGGAGTATTGCATTGAGTTGTATCTTGTAAGACAGATATCTGAAAATACAGACAGAGTCGTATCCGGAATGATATTGGCTATGGTATTCGTGTGAATTGAGTTGTACCTGGATTGATACAGGTCTAAAAGGATTTATTGGAGTAAGGCATTTACTACATGACTTCTTCTATAATTTGTTAAGTTGTTTGATACCAACGAGAATAAAACAAAATAGTATATTGCAGTCATATTCTATTAAAATTGATTTCGAAGTAAGCTAAGAGTAAAACATTTTTCACAAGAAATAATCTGCAAAATGTCTGTAATTGTAATGGAAGAATATATTCAAAACTATTCAACAACTGCCATGTTTTTTGGGACACCCTGTAGATTTAACGTCAACAGAACAACTAGAAAATAGATTAAAGATCTCCAGGACAAGTAGAATATAGATTAAAGATCACCAGGACAATTGAAACATATATTAACGGTCAACTGGACAATCGGAATATAGATTAACGGTCAACTAGACAATTTGTTATATATATTACAGGTCAACTGGAATGAAGATTAACGGTCAACTTGACCACTGGAATGTAGATTAAAGGTCAACTGGAAAATCGGAATGTAGATTAACGGTCAACTGGACAATTGAAATATAAATCAACGGTCAACTGGACATTCTATGTAGATTAACGGTCAACTGGACAACTAAAGTACAAGCAGGTAAAAGGTTGGACCCCCCCCCCC